GTCGAACGTCATTCAAAAGTTACGTTTAATACACGTGTCAAAATATCATATTTAGATACTTAGGTTACGTTCGAACGATTTCACGATAAAGTTTTAAGTGTTAACGAATAAAACGACCGGTTAGAGAATTTGTCAAATAAAATTTAAATCGTTTTGAATCTTATACGAGACGCTTGAAAATGTTTCAAATTGTCGGATATATTGGTTTATACGAGGTACTTACCTATCTGAGTAACTTAATCGTCCATCATGGCTAACTCGTAACTATCGCTTTTAATCTTTGAAAACGATGTTGATAGTTACATAGCAAGAACTAAGTAAGTACCTGGCTATGAAGTCACTCGTGGCTAATATGTATATGTATATATATATATATATATTAGCCATATATATATATATATATATATATATATATATATATATATATACCTACGATCTGTGTTTCTTAATTTATTATCTCTTAAACTCGCAAATCGTTTACGAGAGTGTGACGTTTATATATAAGTTCTGTCTACTTTGTCGACGGGAATCGACTTCGACGCGTCCCATTAGGATCATTTTCATTTTATACGAAGTGTTAAAAATCACTGCTGTTCTTTCTATCGTTTTATACGTTCCTTACGACTTCTTTATTTCGAAGAAGAAAAAGAAGAAGAAAAAGAAAAAAAGAAGTGGAAGACGAAGAAGAAGAAAAAGAAGAAGAAAAAAGAAAAGAGAAAAGGCAAAAAGGAAAAAAGGATGGAAGAAAATACGACAGTTATATACGAGGGGCCATTTTTAATCTCGAAAACAAAATTCGTCCCTCGTGAGAAAATAGAAATGCTCGTGAAATATTTAAGAGGAAATCGAAAAATTGGGAGAGTAGGATGGCTTTTAAGATGGCGACAATATCGTTCTAATTTTAGCGAAGAACCTTCTTGGACTTCGATAAAAGCGTGAAGATGAAGGAAAAAAAAAAAGAAGAAGAAGAAGAAGAAAAAAAAGAAATAACCGAGAAGAACACGAGGAGAGAAAAAGATAAAAAGAAAGAGAACTCTCTCTCTCTCTCTCTCTCTCTCTTTCTATTTCTCTATCTCTCTATCTATCTATCTTTCTTCGTCGTGGTTTTCGTGGTTCTCGGAGCTTTTACTCGAGATACGACTCGATCGGCACGTTTGTGCTCGATTTTGTACGGGATTAGAATTAGAACGTTTCCAATGTAACTGAGAGACTTCTTTTAAGATTTTCCTTCGGGAAATGCGATCGTCCCGACGGAACGTGTAAACGATTGTAAAGCCTGTCTCTCTCTCTCTCTCTCTCTCTCTCTCTCTCTCTCTCTCTCTGTCTCTCTCTCTCTGTCTCTGTCTCTGTCTTTCTCTCTCCATTTCTCGAAAAGATCACAAAAATGATCTCTATCATGGAATTTGCACTCTCTAGCACAATGCATTGGCATAGAAACGAGCTTGTCTCTTTGATTAGATTACGTTCTTTTGAACGTACCCTCTAAAAATCCGGATAATATCTCGATACAAAGCGAAAATGATTCATAAAAGTGATGAAAGAAAAATCTTCATTAAATCGACGAAGAATAGCGATGAAAAGAGAATGAAGATAAAACGGAATAAGTGAAGGTACGATTACGTCAGACTTAAATGATCATTTTATGTATTAAAAAGTAAGATGAGATATAAGATACAATTTGAATCTATTTAAACGAATATTTCAATATATTAATATCTATTCAAATTCGAAGTCGATGATGACATCAGAAACTATAAACGAGTATGTATAGGTATAAATAAATGTTTGTGCAGAGATAATAATATAAAGAATGAAAGAAAGAAAGAAAGAAGAAAAAAAAAAGATTGTTACGAGAATTGTGTGTTATCGATTATTTGCGAATTTGTTATCTACGATCAACGATGATTATATATCACGAAGAGAAAACGATCACGTGGATTTCGTTCGAACGAAAATATTATCGACTTCGTCCATCGCGATCGTTCCGACGGACGGTCGACCATTCCATTGAAAACTATGGCGAACATTGAATGGTACCATATCAGATGTTCGTCCTTCTACCTCGAAAAATTTGCTCTTACTAAATATCGATGACATTTCTTATGCGGTGGTTGAAAGCGTGAAAAAGAAACAAAAAAAAAAAAAAAACAAAAGAAAAAAAAAAGAGCGAAAAAAAAAGAGTAACGATCGTGTCTCGCGACCCGACATCGAATACCAAGAAAGAAAAGAAAAGAAAAGAAGAAGAAAAAAAAAAGAAAGAAAATAATCGCGTTCCTTTACCTTGCATGATAATTTTTTTGGCGACTCGCCGAGAAAATAAATTTGTTATTTTTGTCTCGCATAGTGCCGACGGAATTTTCTACGGTGGATTTTATTTATTTCGTTTTCCTTTTCTCTCTCTCTCTCTCTCTCTCTCTCTCTCTCTCTCTCTCTCTCTCTTTCTCGCACATACAAAAATTACATCTTCTATTACTCTTTTTATTATCGTAAATGTAAAAGA